CGGAGTTTTGCGCTTCTGATATAACCACAGGTGTGGCCACGGGGCATTGGCTGCATTATGTTGTCATGCTATGGATTATCTCTGATAGTATGTACTAGTTCTCGCATCCAATAAGGACAATATACGCCCAACACCAACCAACAACCAACGTCTATAAACACTTGGGCAGCAACATGGGACTGACGCTATCCAGGCCCCTCAGGGCGAAGCTGAACTGCGGCAGGAAATCATTGGATATCCTCTACGCACGAAATCCTCAAACTCATAGTGTCTTCACATATACTCGACACGTAGCGCTACAGCAGCCGACGGAAATATACATCTAACTGAAACATATTCTTACACTTTCTATAAAAAAAAATAGGCTGAAAATACACCGCTATCTTACCCCTACATGTATCTACCGGTTGGCCGCAGGGACTACAAACAGTAAAATAAAATAGAAACCTAGCTCTATTAGAAAAAGATGTGAAAAATTATCCTATTCTGTTTCAATAAGTACATATATGGCCCTATTGTATACATATTGAGCGACGGCAGGAAATGGTGAGTAAGGGTCATAACCACATCATTTAATAATTAGAAGCCTCCAGAGCTTGTACAACTAGATGGATATAGGTACAAGTAGCAATTATCAATTGTCACCCTGTCCATACTATCACCAGTGTCACACTATATACCCCTGTTACCTTGGGCATAGCAAACAAAGAACCTGGTGAACAAACGATACATCATTCCACAATACTTAATCGGCCCTCCGTCCACCATTCCCCTATTCCCTACATCTTTTTTTTTATTTTAGCATCCTCCAAACCATATAGCCATATTTATCCGAGATTGTCTTATTATGAGTGACAATAGGGGTTGTGGACGAGGCGACCGTGGAGGTGATCGTGGCCGTGGTCGCGGGGATTTAGCTTTCCGCCCAGCCGGTAGAGGCGATGGAAATCGTGGGGATTTCCGAGGCCGAGGTGGTGATAGGGGTCGTGGAGGTGATCGAGGTCATGGCAGAGGCGGAGGTGATTCCCGCGGCCGTGGCGATTTTCGTGGTAGAGGTGATTTCCGTGGCGGCCGTGGTGGAGGGCGCGGTGGTGCTACGAACTTTGGCCCGCCTATCTTCAGGTTTGCCTTTCACTCTTACGCTGCATATTGAAAATAAATCTAATCCTTTGACTATAGACAAGGCGGAGCTATCCCACCGCCTAACCCCACCGTCACCAAGACCGAAAATGACCTCGCCAAAGCTCTTGCTGTGAGCAGCCAGAAGGCTCCCAGGCAGGCAAAATACCCCGAACGTCCTGGTTATGGCACAGCTGGAAGGCCCGTTACTCTGTATGCAAACTACCTGCCGCTGACCCTGCCTAACAAGCAGCTATTCCGCTACCATATTGCCATTGCAGCCGACTCTGCAGGCCGAGCTGCTCCGGTGGGCAAGAAGGCCCGACACATTGTGCGTCTGCTGTTGGAGGAGCACTTCCCACAGCAGAAGAACAGTATTGCTTCAGACTTCCGGTCTACCCTAGTTTCGTGTGTCAAATTGACCGAGGGTAAATTCGATGTGCGATACAAGGAACACCTGGATGATGACTACCTGGATCCACCCCGGGTGCACCAGGTTACCTGCCAGTATACTGGCGAGGTCAATCCTGCTGACTTGGTCAACTACCTGACCTCCACCAGCGCGGGTGCGATGCTTGAGTCCAAGTCTGAGATTGTAGCTGCTCTCAACATGGTCATGGGGCACCACCCCAAGACGGACGACCAAGTCGTCTCTGTCGGAGCCAACAGACACTACAGCCTGCGTCAGGATACCATGGAATCGTTCAACCTTGGCGGTGGTCTATCCGTCCTGCGTGGATTCTTTGTCAGTGTGCGTGCTGCGACTGCTCGTGTGCTCTTGAACGTCCAGGTCAAATATCTGGCCTGTTACAATGAAGGGCCTTTGATGAACGTGATTCAAGACTACGGCAACAAGAACACCTATCGTTTGGAAAAGTTCCTCAAGAGCCTACGCGTCCGAATCACCCACATTACCCGCAAGAACAGTCACGGCCAGCCCCGGCCTCGCATCAGGCCTATCTATGGCCTGGCCAACCGCGGTGATGGTGGCTCGTCGCCCAACGCACCCAAGGTGTCCCGCCACGGCGCTGGTCCCCAAGATGTGCAATTCTTCCTAGCGGAATCTAGCCCTCAGCCCGTCGCCGTGCCTGGTGTGCCCGAGCCCAAGGGAAAGAAGGGCAAGAAAGCGCCCAGGGCCGGTCCTGCGGAAGCCGGTCGCTATATCACCGTTGCGGACTTCTTCAAAAAGGGTCCGTCGATCTTTACTTTTGTTTCACTTTTCCTTCGACTCCCTTTCTCCTCGCGTCATGCTGACCTTCCTCTTAGAATACAACATAGCTTTGAATGCGAAAATCCCAGTGGTCAATGTGGGGTCTCGTGACAGACCTGTCTATCTCCCCGTTGAGGTCTGCGACATCGAGCCAGGCCAGCCAGCTAAATCCAAGCTCTCAGGTGATCAAACTGCAAATATGCTCCGCTTCGCCGTCATGGGTCGAAAGCCGGGTCAGAACGCCCATTCGATTGTTACCAAGGGCGTGGGTGTGCTAGGACTAGGCGAGCCATTGAATGCCACACTAGTAAGAATACCCTCGCTCCGAAGATCTCGTCAACATGTCTAACCTTTTACAGTCTGCCTTCGGCGTTAACTCTTCCACTGAGCTAATCACGGTGCCTGGACGCGTTCTCCCCGCCCCAAATGTCACCTATAAAAATGGGAACGGGATCAAGGAAATCGGAACTCAATTCGGCAGCTGGAACATGCGCCAAATCCAGTTCTCTAAGGCTTCAAGCATGAAATCGTGGACTTATCTCTACATTGATCAAGAGGGCTCCCGGCCTATTTTCCAAAATCCAGATCAGCTCAACGCGGCTCTGGCAGGCTTCAGAAAGACACTTAAAGGTATGGGGATGTCCGTGGATCCTCATAAGACCGGCAAACGTGTTGTCCTGACCGGCAAGAACGATGCCAAAGATCTCGAGGAAGCCGTCGTGCAGCTGAAAAAGCAGCACAACCCAGTCTTCATCCTGGGTATACTCTATACTAAAGACACTAGCATATACAACTGCGTCAAGCAAGTCTGCGACGTCCGTGTCGGAATCCGCAACGTGAACGTCCTCGCAGAGAAGCTCATCAACTCGAACGACCAGTATAACGCCAATGTGGGCCTGAAAATCAACCTCAAACTTGGCGGTGCTAACCAAGCCCTCCGCACCCATGACCTCGGCATAATCTCCGAAGGCAAAACAATGCTAGTCGGCATCGACGTGACCCACCCCTCACCAGGCTCCGCCAGCACAGCCCCCAGCGTCGCGGGCATCGTCGCCTCCGTAGATGGGACACTTGCCCAATGGCCCGCCGAGATCCGCGTCCAAGGCGCCCGCCAAGAAATGGTCGCCGACCTAGAAACCCTCCTGGCAGGCCGTCTCCAGCACTGGCGCAAGCTTAACAAATCCCTCCCGGAGAACATCATAGTCTACCGCGACGGCGTCTCAGAAAGCCAATACAATAAAGTCATCGACGAGGAACTCCCGCTCCTCCAGGAAGCATGCAAAAAGACCTACCCAGCAGACCAGACGAAGAAAGGGCTCCCGCGTCTGGCCATCGTCGTCGTCGGAAAGCGCCACAACACCCGCTTCTACCCAACGACAGAGCAGGACTCGAAGCGCGAGAACCCAATCCCCGGAACTGTCGTCGATCGCGGCGTCTCAGAGGCCCGCGACTGGGACTTCTTCTTGCAGGCCCACTCAGCTCTCCAGGGCACCGCCCGTCCCGCCCACTACTTCACCGTCTGGGACGAGGTCTTCTACCCCCGCTACCCGGCTAACAGCGGCGGCCCCGGCGCGGCTGATGTCCTCCAGGACCTCACTCACAAAATGTGCTACATGTTCGGCCGTGCTACGAAGGCGGTTAGTGTCTGTCCGCCGGCGTACTATGCCGATCTGGTTTGTACGCGTGCTCGCTGCTTCTTGGGTGACCTGTTCGATCCTATGCCCGTTGATTCTTCCGGTGGTAGTACCAGTGGCACGGAGGGCGCGGCGGATATGAACCGCAGGGATGATGTCAACATCCATCCTAATATCGCCGAGACTATGTTCTACATCTAGGTAATTTGGTTGAGGTTGTGTTTTGCCATCTATTTGATATCTATTATGCGTTTTGCGTATGATTTGGGATCTACATGACTTGGCCTGAATGGATTTGATGGTGGAATTGGAATTGGAAGAGAAACAATTTGGCGGAGGAATGAAGAATATCAGATTTTGGACCTAGCAGACTTACTTACTTTCGCTCGCTCATCTTTGGTCTTTGGAAAATATCGTTTGGGATATTCTGTCTCGGTCAGCTTCGATACTTGCCCAGGTGGGCATCGGAGACTAAACGAGATTAACATCTAGCTTACTATTTTGGACGGTAGCCTAGCTGTAAGACTCAATTTCAGACGATGATGTCTATAATCCCTTAGTATACGTGTACTATGTTCTTGCTATATGGATAGAAGAGGTTTTACGAATCGGCTGAAGTATAACAACATGAAATTAACAGTTAAACGAATCCCGCTCTCGTGGAAACAAACCTTGTACACACTAGTAACATTTTGAGGGCAAGGTACAGAAGAATGAAAGGCAAAAGAAGGAAGATAGACAAGAAGGCAAAGGGCTTGAAGGTAATACACGCAGGCCAGGCATTCCACACTCGACTGTAACTGCAAAGTTCCAAGCGCGAAGTGAAGGGGAAGCCCGGCCTCCTTTTTCTTTTCCTTTTTCGTGATTTTGCAGCTTCAAGGACAATGTCCAAAATTCATGCGGGTATCGATACATATTGCTCGTGATCGGAGAGAGTCGGCCATTGCTTGTCGTAAGGACGGAGCTGATGCGACTTCTGCGCTGACAAGGGATACATACTTAGTATCAAGCTAGGCCTTAGACCGGCGCTAGCTCACTTAGTTGTCTTCATGGCTCCAGCTAGGCTGGTTGTGGGCGCGAGGATTGCGCTGCGCGGTGGCGTTTCTCCTAACTGGCTCAGGGGACGCCTCGTCATAGTTATCCCAGTGAGACTCCATCATCTTATTGTGCGCCTCGTGCTTTTGTGTAGGCAGGGGGGACTGCTCGTCGTAGTTATCCCAATGGGACTCCATCATCTTATTGTGCGCATCATGCCTCTGGGTAGGCTTGTTCTCCTTGGCAGCGGGCGATTCGTCCGCCAGCTCGAACTGCGAAACGGAGTTCTTCTTGCGGTTGGCATTGGCGTCTGTGGACAGGGGCTCATTCTTCTTCTCGTGCTCGGAGGGCTGGGGCTGGTCGTCGCCCTCGAAGAGGCGGTTCTCGTAGAGGCCTTTGCCGCGGCCCGCGAATGAGCTGATGATGCGCCCATCGTCCTCGGATTCTTCATCGGTCATCTCGAAGTGGCGGTCCGCATCGCGACGGGGCTTGATCACGTTCAGCTTGGCTTGGGGGGATCCGGTGCCTTCTTCGTTATCGCCGAAGCCAAAGTGACGCACTTCATGTCCGCGTGGGGCGCGCGAGCTCTTCACCGGGGTCTCGACGTCGCCGAATTCCCAGTGGGTTGACTGTTTGGAGTTGGCCTGCTTGACTTCTGCCTTGATCTCGCGCTCCAAGTTGTCGCCGCCGAGCTCGAAGTGGTCGTATTTTCCGGGGGCGGACTTGTAGAAATGGCGGTCTTCATCGACAGGCCCTTTACCGGCCTTGTCCTCCTCTTCGTCGACCCGGGGAGCCCTGGGCTTGGACTTGGAGGGCGAGTCGGGCACATCATCATCCCTCAGGAAGATATCGCTGAAGTTGCGCGCGGCAGGTCGCGCAGACGCGGGCGCAAAGGGAGCCACAGGGGCGGGAACTTTCTTCGTGGGGGACAGAATCTCGTTCAAGGAACCCGCTCCGTAGGGGTCTTGGGTATATCTCTTGCTCTTGCTGGAGGATGCAGGTCTGGGGGTTTCCGCGCGGCTTTCGATCTCAGCGACCTCCTTGCTCGGCGAGAGGAGCTCAGTCAGGGACTCGGCTGCGTAGGGATCTTTGATGCGACGCTTGGCTGGGGATGAGGAGCGGTTGGGGAGTGTAGTCTCCGTCTTTTGGGAAGAAGGCTGCGAGGGTGCTGAACGCGCCGTCTCGGCGGTTTTAAGGAAACGGAGTTGGTCTTTTCCATCACGAACGGGCCACTGGCGTCCGCGCGCTCCAATAACTTCGACTTGCTTCAGCAACGAGGCCTGATCCCAGTAAATTCGGATCTGCTTGATCTGCTGATTGGCGTCGAAGTGGACGATGTGAATCTGCACGACGGGTTAGCTTTCGATAACGCGACGCGCGTCGGGGAATTTACCGTGGGGAAAGTCGCGACACGGTCGGCCAGGAAATTATCATCGAGAGAGGGGAGATAAACCCCACCACCCTCAGTGAATTCAAGGGTGGTTTCCATGTCTAGACATAGCGAGTCTGATCCTTCAATGGCGCTGATGACCTGGTTCGACTTTGTCTTGACCACCTTTGCGTTCTTCAACACATGTGTGATCACATTGTCGGCCTGCTCGAACTTCGTCGTGGTAGGAACATAGATCAAGGACACATCGTCGGCCAATTTAGCGGTCCTGGGGTTATCCAGGAACCGCTGGTATTCGGTCTTGAAGTAGGACATTGTCAACCGTATAGGGACGGGGGAGCTTAAAGGAGGAAGATACTCCAGAGAAGAGCTACTCCAGAATACTCTAGAAGTAAGCCAAACGAGACTGAAGTTACAAAGAGACTATTTTCAATTTAGAAGAGAGAGAAGGAGAGAAGGAGAAGGGAACGATTGCTCTCCGAGGCCCAAGTGCAATGTATATTATTCACAAGACATACAGGGGAGACGCTAGAACCAGTTAGTACTCGGTACCTTGCATATAAATGTATAAATGTAATAATATCAAATGAGAATGCAAATAGAAAACGCGTTGACATCCCTGAAATAATCTGAAAACACGCCAGTGTTTCACCATACGGGCCTAGGCTTGGGGCTTGGCCCGTCTCTCCGGCAACTGGAGAATCCGGAGAATACACTTTAACAGGCTTCAGCCTCTACAGGGGTACGGATTGTACAGGGTTAGACATGCAACATGTACATTGTACATTTCAGAGTACTGGCAAAATGAAATGCCCCTCAGCGGTTGATCTCTGGCGAGTCGGAAGTCTTCTCAGTTGCAATGCCGACTCAAATCAGACACGCTCAGGTAGAAGACGTGATCGGTCTACCATTGAAGTATAGCCATTCAAGTCAAAAGTATGGCATGTATGCCGAGCAGGGACTTGTCAAACTCCAACTCCTGACCGGCCAATTCTTCTTTCTTTCGTCTTAGGCAGAAAAGCCTCCCAAGCACTTGCCGTATCTTCAGGGAACCATAGATAGCATGGTGAATTACCGTATCGGTGAAGAAGGTGGGTATGTGTTGCAATCGTGTCTCATTACAAAGGTCTATTGGAGAAAAACGCGTTAGAAGGGTTGTATGCACTGGGCGCTGTTCGAACGACTTACCCAAGATAATCCTCCTTAATGGTGCCAATGGCATTGATAGCGGCCACGTCGGGCTTGACACCGAGGATCTTCAACCGCAGACTGGTTCCTTTTTCAATCACTTGATCGGCATGATCAGTGTATTGCGGCGGTACAGTGTTGGGCTCCCACTTGATATCGGAGGGGATATTCTGATGGGCTGTCAGCCGTGAAACTCAAGAGGTCCACGGTCAGAGGAAACAAAACATACCTTTCGCGCAATGAAGACGGACAATGGGCCTGCCAGTGTGAAGATACCCGTAGGCTTAACTGAAGTAACGATGGCATCCACCTAAGCTCAGTCAGCAGGAATTCAAAGGCGACAACCTCGGATCCCAAGCGCATACCGTCTCGCCACGGAACGGCTTCCAGATAATTGCACGATATCTGATAGTGTATTCTGCCTGTCCGATTCCAGGCATAACGCGCCCCTCGCCAATATCAACCATGTCCATGACACAGATCACGAAGTGATCACCTGTGCACCGTCCCTCTTCCTCCTCGTTGAGTCGACCGATGAGGTACTCTCGCATGTTAGGTCCGAAATAGGACGGGTGCATCGAGATCACCTTGGTCTCTTCTTTAAGGAAGAACATCGTCGCGGTGTAGTTGGCTAAGAATGGTTAATGCCGAATTGCGGAATGGAAAGATTCAGGTCGCTTTCGGGACAGTGATGCTGTCAATCGAGGTCGAGGGACGGCGTTTTCGACCACGCGCTCATGACCTGCAACGGTGAAGCACAAACAAAATGTGGCTGCCAGAAATGAGCGAAATGAGATCGAGTACCCGTGGAAGTGGCAGAAATTGTATCTGCCTTGGATCTTGAACGAAAAGGCAGATACAGTTGCTGCAGGCGCAAGCTTTCCCTTCGTAAGAGCGTCTCCGGTCTGGTGGGCCAAGTTTGGGTGGGTGGAGTCACGTGGTGAGATTCTTGAACGGTGAGTACTTTGGAAGTTGACTTGATACTTACACATTTCAAGTCATTGAAACTTCATTTTGCATTTGGATGCTACTTAATGCAATAGATAGTCGGCGGTACACTTGATGAAAATTTAGACTTGACCGGGTGGAGGATTGCTTATTATATGAAGAATGATGGGATGATCTATAGCAGACCATAGATGTTTGAATGTTTGACGTACATAACAAAGTTTTCTGGCTTTGCGCCTCCGGTTCGACTTATAATAGCATATTTATGCTATATGTAGCTTTGTTGGTTGGCTTTGACTGGTTATTGCATTTCAAGATCAGCTTGAATGTATAACGTGGGCTATATATATCTTTGAGGCCACCTACTTGCATCTTCGATTTCGATATTCATATTGTAATCGAGCTATAAAACGGAGCTGGAATCCCCGGTATATCTTAATCTTATAACCCTAAAGATACCGAAAGAAAAGTACCCGAACCTGTGGGAAAGTGTAGTCCAAAGCGCCCGGGAGATTTCATACAAGACAATACAGTGTTATATAGTTAACGACCGGTTTAATGAGACATGGGAGAGAACTCCAATCATAAGAACATAATCCATTACATGAGATGTAGGAACATCCTAGTAAAACTATAATGTAGATGATCTGATAGGTCTGTACATGGCGGGTTGCCATACCTGGGGCGCATGTATACCGTTACGTTGCCAAGACCAAACGTCTTCCTCGGCCTGAGCACATGACGGCGGCAGGGCCGGACCTTGAATATCAATTGCACCACTCAACGCTTTCCGATAAAGATGATGCCACTTGCCTGATCCCATCGCCCCGCAAAACCCTTCCGCCAGACTTCCCCATCCTTTTGATCCCAAGCCGGAAAGATGGCGCTTAATCTTGAGAAACAGTTGCTCTTCGTAAGCATCCACATCCAACTCCCAGAACAACTACAGCTGACTGTGATCTAGTACGGGGCCTACCATAACAATCCCGTACAGCAGCCCTATTCCCATCGCCAATAACACACGCTTACTAACAGCGCAGGTCAACGTGGCAATCCACATCACCTGCGTCCCGGTCCTACTGTTTACCGGCATCGTCCTCGTACGTGCATCTCGGAATTTTCCACCAACTAAGCAAGATATCCCAGTATAAAAAGTACTAATAGTGACACCCAAGGCTTGCAACTGCCCGCCCCTCTTCACCCTCCCGGACATCATCCGAATCGAATACCTGCCCGCAAACGCCGGCACAATCGGCGCCCTTATCTACGCCACATTTTATGTCCTCCTAGAGCCCATGGCCGGCGGTCTACTCGCACCCGCCGTGATTGCAGCTGCATACTACGGAAACTACTTCCTCAGCACGCACGGCAGCATCGTGAACTACTGGGCCGGGGCCATCCACGTCGTGTCATGGCTGGCGCAGTTTGTTGGACACGGCGTGTTTGAGAAGCGTGCCCCTGCCTTGCTGGATAATCTTGTCCAGGCTTTCCTTCTTGCACCGCTATTCGTTTGGATGGAGATTCTGTTCTTCTTCGGATATCGCCGGGAGCTCAAGGAGCGCTTTGAGAAGGGTGTTGAGCTGGAGATTCTGAAGTTCCGGAAGCAGGGGAATGAGAATGGCAAGGGAAAGGACAAGGCGAAGCAGTAAATTCTGGCTTGTGCGTGCAGCATGCAGTAAGGGGGGATATTGCTCGCCAAGACCAAGGGCTGGACTCCGTACGTTCTCGGGTGATCTTGGTTGATATTGAAAGCTTCAGCGGTTCCATTGGCGCGTCGGCTTCATATGCCTGTTATAGCAAAGCGATTGATTATGTCTTTTTATCCTTTTGCGAGTGTTATTCGCATTGTCTTTTGGTCAATTTGGTATGTACTTATCCCTTTCCCGTAGAGTGGGTGTTGCTGCCTCCCCCAATGTGTGATTTTATTGTATGGTAGTATAATAATGCCGAGTAAATAGACTTGGAAACATGAAATAATAGCATAATAACCAAAGCATACAAAGCATAACTATACAACAGAAGCAAGCACCCTGTCTTCGGTTGCCGTGACGAAAGCCATGACATAAGCGATTCACCTGACCGGGAATTCCGCCGATCCGAGAAGAGAAAAAAACGGAAGGACAGTGGCCCGTGGCACTCTCTTCCGGTCGGTAATGCAAATAGAAGTAACTCATTATGGGCTTCTATAACGTTTTGAAAAATTTGGAGAATTTATAAAGTAGAATATAGAACAAAAAAAAAGAATACATATAACATTGTAGTAATAATAAAAGCGTACAAGATACACCGTGGCCTCACACTAGGGCCACCTCGGAGGGCCCAGCGTCCAAAACGGTTTAGCGCGAGTCCTGAGAATCCAATCCTCCCCCCGACGACAAAGCTCTCCCTCCCGTCCACAATCCTCTCTCCTCTCCCGTTCTCTCTCCCCAATTACATCTCTTCCTCAGAGAATTCATCCTCCCATCCTCTGAACCCCCTTTCACAATGTTCAGAAACGCTCTGCGGTCGTCCAGCCGCTCCGTTGCGGCTGTTTCGGCCACTGGCCGCATCGCCTCGGTGAGTCCATCCCATCCCAGCCGCCTTCATCCATCGCCAGTTCGACATCCTTCATCTCAATCTTGAGCTCGATCGATGCTCATACCTCATCATGCCTCGACAACGATACTGCAACGATAGCCAGGACACATTTTCCTTCTCTGGGATGGTCATTAACAAGGTTTTCGTCCATTACAGGTCCGCGCGGCTGCTGCCGGTCCTCTTAACGGCGTTCGCTCCTACGCTTCCGAGGCCAAGGCTGCCCCTACTGAGGTCTCCTCCATCCTTGAGCAGCGCATCCGTGGTGTCTCTGAGGAGGCTGGTCTCGCTGAGACTGGTCGTGTTCTGTCGGTCGGGTACGTCAATTGTCCCTAGGCGGCTGGGGGCGCGAAAAAAATTCGGTCCCCGGCTACAATTCCATCGAATCCGCCATTGTTTATCAACATTCAACAAAATACCGATACAGAAACTGATTGAACTTTAAATAGTGATGGTATCGCCCGTGTCCACGGCATGTCCAACGTCCAGGCTGAGGAGCTGGTCGAGTACGTGAACCCCCAAAGTCTTGGCATTACCCAGACATAAAAACTAACTCGTCTTCAGGTTCGCCTCCGGCGTTAAGGGTATGTGCATGAACCTTGAGGCCGGCCAGGTCGGTGTCGTGCTTTTCGGTTCCGACCGTCTCGTCAAGGAGGGTGAGACCGTCAAGCGTACCGGCGAGATTGTAAGCACTTCAACCCAACCCCTGGGCTCATTCTGATATTGGACCCTGAATCCATCAACCCCTTGGCAACATTTCTAATACCACCCCTAGGTCGAGGTCCCCGTCGGCCCCGAGCTGCTCGGCCGTGTCGTCGACGCTCTCGGTAACCCCATTGATGGCAAGGGTCCCCTTAACACCAAGGAGAAGCGCCGTGCTCAGCTCAAGGCCCCCGGTATTCTGCCCCGTCAGTCCGTCAACCAGCCCGTGCAGACTGGTATGAAGTGTGTCGACTCCATGGTGCCCATTGGCCGTGGTCAGCGTGAGTTGATCATTGGTGACCGTCAGACCGGTAAGACCGCTGTCGCTCTCGACACCATGCTCAACCAGAAGCGTTGGAACAACACCAAGGGCGCCTCCGAGGAGGAGAAGCTCTACTGTATCTACGTTGCCGTTGGTCAGAAGCGTTCCACCGTCGCTCAGCTCGTCAAGACCCTTGAGGAGCAGGACGCCATGAAGTACTCTGTCATCATCGCTGCCACCGCTTCTGAGGCCGCTCCTCTGCAGTACATTGCTCCCTTCACTGGCTGCGCCATGGGTGAGTGGTTCCGTGACAACGCCCGCCACGCCGTCATCATCTACGATGATCTGTCCAAGCAGGCCGTTGCCTACCGTCAAATGTCTCTGCTCCTCCGTCGTCCCCCCGGACGTGAGGCCTACCCCGGTGACGTTTTCTACCTGCACTCTCGTCTCCTCGAGCGTGCCGCCAAGATGAACAAGACCCACGGTGCTGGTTCCTTGACTGCCCTGCCCATCATTGAGACCCAGGGTGGTGATGTGTCCGCTTACATTCCCACCAACGTCATTTCCATCACTGACGGCCAGATCTTCTTGGAGGCCGAGCTGTTCTACAAGGGTATCCGTCCCGCCATTAACGTCGGTCTGTCCGTGTCCCGTGTCGGTTCCGCCGCCCAGGTCAAGGCCATGAAGCAGGTCGCCGGTTCCCTCAAGCTGTTCTTGGCTCAGTACCGTGAGGTCGCTGCCTTCGCCCAGTTCGGTTCCGATCTTGATGCCTCCACCAAGCAGACCCTTGCCCGTGGTGAGCGTCTTACCGAGCTCCTCAAGCAGAAGCAGTACTCCCCCATGGCCGTTGCCGACATGGTTCCTCTGATCTTCGCTGGTGTTAACGGTTTCCTCGACACCATCCCCGTCGACAAGATCCTTACCTGGGAGGCTGACCTCCTCGCTCACCTCAAGAGCTCCCACCCCGAGATCCAGGCCACCATCGAGAAGGAGGGCCAGGTCTCCAAGGAGACTGAGGCCACCCTCAAGCAGACCATTGCTGCTTTCAACTCCACCTTCAACGCATAAGTGAAGAAATAACTCGGATGATCCTTCGTGGTCGGCTTTGTTTTCTTGACTCTATGTGTATAGACAAGATAGCCTGTACAATTTTGAGCCCATTGTTTTTCTGTTCTTCTTGGTGCCGGTGCCTGGCAGGAGATCCCAGTCTGCCCCTGGATGTAGCGATGTAATTATCTGCATGATCCTAGGGGGCGGACCAAGGATTTCCCGTAGTGCTGTTCGAGTGAGAACTAAAATGACTTTGGTCTGCCAAAATGTGATTATATCCTGTACGTTTAGATTTTATCCGCGCATCGGGGCGCGAGATGGGTGAACGACCGTTCTAATTCCGTCTGGTCTCCTTATGCTCTCAATGTTGGACCGCAATTATTTCATTTGTTCAATCGTTTGTACTGTAATTGTAGACTGTAGGTTGTAAGGGATGTATTCGCATACATCGGATGAAGACGGTTTGGGGGCATGTCTAAACCGAATAGCAACTTGAATCTATATATACGCTAATCGACTAAGGCAATTACTATAAACATCAATATCATCTAGATGCCATGCTTGATATTCTATATCCCTCGACATATCATTCAAAGACACGGCAGCAAAGGCCGAAACCGGCATCTGATCTGTTATCGATAAGCGATCAAGATTTTCCCGGAGATCACCAAGTCCCCCGCGTGCAAGGAACTTCACGTTTCTCTCTGGAACTGATTATATTGCTATTACCGTCCTATTCCCGCCATGTCCGCCCCTACCGATAAACCCCCCTCCTCCTGCAAGGTGATGTTGAGCAAGAACGTTGCCAACCACCTCCTTAGCGAAGTTCACGAGGGCCTCAAGACCCTCGAGAAGCCGCCTCACTTGGTCGGCCTGCTGGCCAATAATGACCCTGCCGCGTTGATGTACGCGCAGATGACGCAGAAGACCTGCGAGGAGAAGTGAGTCTCTACACTATTCTGTTTATCCGGCTTCAATGGCTCCAATGGATTCTTTGGTGGGATGGATGGTGGGGTTAACTAGTATGATTCATACATACCTCTCAGCCAAAAAAAAAAAGCCAAACGAGCCCCAAGCACAGCCAACAATCCAATTGTAACAACCCACTAATGCAATGCCTTTCTCAGCGGCTTCAAGTACACCATGCGCCAAGTGTCCCGCGACGACATCGAACAAGCCATCCTGAACGCGAACACCGACCACAACGTCGACGGCATAATCGTCTACTACCCGATCTTCGGCACCCGCCAGGACCAGTACCTGCAGCAGATCGTCGACGTGACCAAAGACGTCGAGGGCCTGAGCCATCGCTACATCTTCAACATGTACCAGAACATCCGCTTCCTGGACGGCGAGGCCAAGCGCCAGAAGTCCATCCTGCCCTGCACCCCGCTGGCCAACATCAAGATCCTCGAGTACCTCAACATCTACAACACCATCCTGCCTTACGGAAACCGTCTCTTTGGACACACAATCTGTGTCGTGAACCGCTCTGAGGTCGTGGGTCGTCCGCTTGCTGCTCTGCTGGCTAATGATGGCGCTTGTGTTTACTCGGTTGATATTACTGGTGTGCAGAAGTTTACTCGTGGTGAGGGTTTGCAGAAGAAAACTCATGAGGTCGTGGATCTCGAGGGGAAGACTTTGAAGGATGTTGTGCCGCTTTGTGATGTGGTTATTACTGGTGTCCCCAGTGACAAGTACAAGTTCGATACGAGCCTTCTGCGTGAGGGTGCTGTTTGTGTCAACTTTTCTAGCGAGAAGGTATGTTTTCTTTTGCGCTTTCGAGTTTGATTAAGACATTGCGGTTGCTAACTGTTCTGATATAGAACTTCCCCCACGAGGTCCGAGACAAGGCCTCGCTCTTTGTCCCATCTATTGGAAAGGTTACCATTGTCGTTCTATTGCGGAACCTGCTGGTATGTTTTATCCTTATCCTTCATTCACATGCTCAGTTGTTCTTTGCAACATCATTCTAACATGACAATCACAGAGACTCATCCAGAACAAGCGAATGGACGATGTCAAGCCCGCCGAGGCCACAGAACGACCTGGCACCCTTGAGGCGAGATCGTAGGTCACTCACCACCCATTCACATTTCAATCTCGACGGCTATGCCCTGAGCTGGCTATTCCGTAAAAAAAAATTATAGATATTCTGTTTGTTATTAGCCATTTCGATTATACTCTGAAACTTTATGTTTCTTCTTTTGTTTCCTGTGCCTAGATCTCTCCCAGTCGCATTTCATGTTTGAAACTTATAGAGATTGCCTCAGTTGACGCTGTCTATTATTACTTTATGTATAAACAAAGACTGTTTCTTGGTTACTATTATAACTTGTTGTCTACCTAGGTACACACTCTGACCTGCATAATACCGCAACGGAAAGCTCTCCAGCTGGGTTTGAAGGGTGATATTGATATAATAACAAATTGTCGTGGGAACAATTGAAACTGAGAACAGTCAAGCCCTTACAACGCGCAAACAGCCATTGAGTCCGCCTTTATCTGAATAAAACACCGCTGTACAGACGAACAGACCTAACATCCTAGCAGTTTCAAATTGCGACAACAGACATTTCCACACCTCGAAGCTTCCAGCACTTCAACGCAATGACATAAGAGCATACCGCGCCCAAAGACCAAAGCTGACCGGCCGATTAGTCGAAAAAGGACAAACCTACTAAGGCAAGACAATCGCTAGGATAAGCAACAGGAGAAACAGCAGAGCAAACACAATGAAACACCAATATGGTCTCAGCAACAGCAGCCACCAGAGCAAGAGCTCCCCCGTGCTACTCTCCCAATCAGCGAACTGATCAACCCCAGCTAGCACATGCCCGAGTGCCTGAGTTGCGGACATTGTGTTGTTTTCACTGATCGTGATCTTTTGGGGAAGTCTTGGAGGAAGCACGGGTGTTATTGGCATGGCAATAGTCGTAGCTTGAGAGATCATGACTCGGACCCCGGGTGCTAGGTCTTGGACCCCACCCGCCACGAATTGGAGCCCAGGTGGCAGGACTATAAGGCGTATAAGACTGACATAGTTGACAGGCCGGCTGAGTATCTTGGTTTGGATATAGTAGATTTGACCTTGTTGGGGTTTCTCGGCAATGGGCTCGGCTTGATTTCCTTCAGACTGAGCAGCGGACGACGTGGTTGCTGCACCGGTCGTTGGTGTCGGAGTGTATGTCAAGCCCGGCATCCGTAGCTTGATCGCAAGCGTTTCTGTGGCGTTGACGAGGGACTCAATATCCTCGGGGGAAACCCAGACAAGGGCTACCGTTATCTCCGGGAGAACTGAAGTGGCCTGATTGTTAGTTCACCCACTCACTCATACACCTAGTTTCTATAGATGAGAGCGTACCTCGAGGTCGAAGGAGGGCATGTGTTATACTCCCCATGATGGATGTCTTCAAGGCTGCGGGAAGTAGATGTGAAGGGGTTTTGATAATTTGAACTTGACTGGGAGTAAAACCATATAGTTTAAGAGCAGTTGACCAGTAAGGGGATATGTGATGAGAGCAGACATAGGTAAAGTTGCCCCAAGTACAAGCTTCAAAGATCGTTATGCCCTGGGGCTCTCTTCAAATCTGGAAAGTGCAGTAGAGCTCCTTCCACGATAGTAGAGATCCACGTGAGCTCAATCGCCCTAGGTAGGACATATCCTAACAAACAAGCTGACACCCATCTGAACAGTAGGTTCGCTCAAATATCGAGTGAGGCGGAGGTGCTGCATACGAGATTGATTTCACTGTCGGTCCATATTGAAGAAGTCACGTACACTGTTGGAATACGTCTGATTAACTATGCCCAATGAAAAGTAAAGGATTTCTTCCTTGCTCGTTTGAACATGTAATATCAATCACTCTTCTTAGTCTCTTATAGAGAATGACCTAGCTTTGCATTTCGCGATAGCCCCAAAAACATAACCTCTGATAGCAATTGTTACGAAGCCTTCCATTTTAGCCAGACTTCTTTTCATTCTCCTTCGCCGCCAATCTCAAAACATCAATCTCGCTGGCCACCCAGCGACGGAAAGGCTCGGGGTGGAATACACCGTCTGCCGAGAACCAAGTTGTGAAGGGCGCCTCGCACCGCTTGTCCTGGAGGACCTTCCCAGAGGCAGACTTATAAATGACATGCAGCCTGTAGAGCTTGGAGAACTTTTTGGCCGATGATGAGACAGATATCTATGAACAAGTCTGTTAGTAACCTTCCAAAAAATAGAATTTTGAAAGAGTCGAAGATCAATTGACATACCGTTTCCCCAGTCTTCCTCTTCCCGGAGTATACCTCGCCAGCCTCGACGGCCCAAATCCAGTATGTCAGAATGCTGTTCAAGACAAAGTAGGTCCCTACTGCCGCGATAATCCAGGGCGAGGTAGTTGCTTCCCAGCCAAGCGTGCGGTCTGCGTAGAAAGTAAACCCAGCGATTGCGACAGCGCTATATCCAAGCAGAAAGCGAATGTTTGTCTTCGAGTGATCCGGCGTGAAAGCGTACGGCGCGGGAAGATTCGTGAGGTAAGGGAGGAGAGCGTCATCGCTTGTAGACTTGAGATCTGTTGCTCCCACTGTTAGTGTTGTCGCTGTATAGAGTAGATCGAGAGTACGGACCATTGGTCGAGTAGACCGGCACTTTGTTGGAAGCCATGATAGGATTTGAGAATAGATGCGAGTAAAGAGCTTCTTAAAAACGAAAAGACCAAGTGTGGTTCAGCATTCAGTGGTCAAGACAGGACGGTTGTTTATCGCAGAACAAAGATGCGGCGTGGCCCTTTGTAGAGAGCTGGAGCTAACGCGGGCCAATGACATCCCTCTCCGCCTGGCTACCTCGACTTCGCGGCCCCTTCAACTTTCCATCCCCCACCTGCAGCCACCACTGGATTACTGTTTGCTTCAAAGGAGGCATTTCTTTGATTCTCATTCTGCCTCAATATGGCAATTCAAGGGGCTGAGCAGACCATCCTTAGGGATCCGGCACTATTGTAAGAGAACATGATTCGATCAAGCGGGAGTTGGACTAACCATTTGCTTATAGCTATTGGATTCTCTTTCCCATTTCAATTGTTATGGTATGAACAATATCCGGCGCTTGGAGCTTAAACATATGCGATACCTCTGAAACTGGAACTAATACCTCTCTTGAATAGATCCTGACCGGAATCCTTCGCCACTATGCCACGGTCCTGATGAACACGCCGCCCAAATCGCCATCCACTCTTGCTGAATCTCGCGAGCGCCTTGCTCTTCTCCGCGGCGTGAATCTCCGCAATAACGCCTGTTCCGTGCTCGACCGCGAGTCGTTCGCGATGCGCAAGAACTACATGGTTACTGGATTCCGCAACGGCGCATTTCTGAAGGATCCCAGCAATCGTGGCCAACCGCCGGCGAACCCCATGACCGACCCCGCGGGCATGGAAGCTATGATGGGAATGCTTAAGGGAAACATGATGATGATGATCCCGCAAACCTTGATCATGAGCTGGATCAATGCCTTCTTCTCTGGCTTTGTCATCTGTATGTTGCATTTTGATATAGATGGACATGAGCAACGAGCTTACAAATTTCGCAGTGAAATTGCCCTTCCCTCTTACTATCCGCTTCAAGTCGATGCTGCAGTCTGGTGTCATGACTCGCGACCTTGATGTGCAATGGGTCTCCAGTCTTTCGTGGTACTTCCTCAACTTGATGGGCCTTCAGTCCGTCTTTGGATTCATTCTCGGCAGTGATAACGGTATGCATCTACTTGACTCTTGCCAATAAAAATTGTCACTAATAATCTATAGCTGCCAACCAAATGGCCCAGCAGATGGGTATGGCTAACCCTGCCGCAATGGTCAATCCGCTCCAGCCCGGACAAGATCCCGACAAGTTGTACCTGAACGAAGCGGAGAACTTGGAAGTGATGGAGCACTTCTGTATTCTTGACGGAGTGGAAGAGAGAATCTTGCAAAACTTTGCTCCTGTGGGGATATAACCTCCCTTTGACGTCGCATGTGATGTCTAGTGTCGGTGTATATACCTGTCTTGAGGTCATCGCTGGCTTTGGATAGCATAAAGAATAGAATGTGTCATGTTTCGTCTAAATAAGCCGCAATTTTGTGGATCTACATAATTGACCTGAGTGTTATTGAATGGTTTCATATTGCACAATTTCCATAAATCGTAGTAACTCATAGCCAATCACTCTTGACGGTAATTAATAACATCATTTAAGATCCAGACTTCCCCGTTATGGACCTTCTCCGCAACTGTATCAACTTCGATATTGCCAGGTTGGATCTATAGACAGTCAGTTACTATACCAACCACTCGCAGAGGATAGAATTTACAAAGATCTTATCGCCCTCCTTCGTCCATTTCAACTTCTCCCCTGCAAGTGTCTCAACTTCTTCCCCGACTCTCCAGGGACTAGCAGGGATGAGATGGGCCTCCACGAATCGCCGCAGATTCCGCTTTGCCCGATCTTGACCATCCTGGCCCTCATATGCATTTACCTCTCCGAACTTCTTGTAGTCCTCTGGATTCTCCCAGGGTTTCCGCGGAAGAGACTGAATTGCACTGTTGCGTGGTGCTAGAACTGTAATGTTCTTGGATGCGTCGTTAAGGCGACTGGCGATTGGCTCAAAGTCACGGGTCAACCGCGCAAAGATATTGATGCCCTTGGTCTTGGGCAGGACATCTGAGATGATAGGGCTACCGCCGTCCTTCGAGTTCACATCCTCGTCCGGAGCCGTCTTCTGTGGCTGGACAACACCAGGGAGAATCTTATCCATTATTGACTGATGCTCTTTGTGCTCGAGAGCTAGTTGCTGTTGATGTGAAGGGAAGGGATATGATAGGCCCCAGAGTGCAGATGCTGAGCTAGCGAGAAGAAATGTAAATAAAATGGATCTTGTTAGTCGATTCGATCGCATGCTGCGGGTTGGAGCCATCTTGCTGCGAATAACGCCGGACAGAGAAGCAGGTCTCACTACAGACATGACGCAACAGGCCTTGGCACGTGATGTTCAGAGTGGAGAGATAACAGAATCACCTGACTATTATCGATAAGGGCATCCGGCCACAAGAAATTGGCCGATGCGAGCTTGATCTTGCCCCCGCCGCAATCTACACGTCGGGCTCTCCTAATAGATCGATTGGCATCATGTCGGCTCTGCAGACCTTTATGCTGGTCGTGGACCACGACAAAGAAGAAGCCAAGCGCATTGCCGAGGGAATCGCGCATGGTATGCTAACTCGCCCCGCACTCGGGACCACTTCAAACCGTTGCATTACTAACGGAGATGCTTATAGATGTTGAGACTAAAAAGACGACTCTGATTGATACTGTCCAATCTCTCGGCGAATATATTAACGACGAAGACCCGATTTTACGCGGAAAAGCGATTTCCTACCTTACGGCCATTATCCAAGCTCTCTCGCCGAAATACCTCTCGAGACAACAGATCCAGGTCCTCACTACATTCTTCTGTGATAGAATTGAGGATGGAGGTGCCGTTGATGGGTTGCAGGCCCTGCAGGGTCTGGACCGGTTTAACAAGTTTTTGGCTACCCAAGTAGCACAAGCGTAGGTGTTATACGTTTTGTTGCATGCGACATCCCTGTGCTCGCCGGGGATAAAGCTTAACTCTACGATGACCCAGTGCTGATTTATTGATATAGACTTTTTTCCAACTTCCAAGATCTCCAGTCTCGATCTCAAACGCAACGGTTCCACGTCTATCAATTGCTCAATGATTTGATGTCAAATCACCGCGGAGCTATGCGTGATATGGGAGATATCTCGCTTCTGGGTGTTGTTGATATCATGACTGGAGAGAAAGACCCGAGGAATTTGATGATTGTTTTCTCCATCCTGAAAGTGATTATGGTGGAATGGGACATCTCGAATCACGTTGAGGTATATGTACTTTCTCTGAGGTCGTGGATTCCGCTAACACTAGATAGACCCTCTTCGACTCAGTATATAACTACTTCCCAATCACATTCCGACCCCCGCCAAATGACCCCTATGGAATCACAGCACAGGATCTGAAGGGTCGTCTTCAAGAATGTATCTCTTCGACAAGGCATTTTGCACCCCATGCTATCCCCGCCTTATTGGACAAGCTTGATTCTACCTCTCCCAATGTAAAGGTAAGATTGCTCAGCACACTGTAATCTTCCAAGGTTGAAGTCACCTAACAGGTCTATAGAAAGATGCGCTTAGTACATTGATCGCGTGTATCCGTTCATACGACCCCAACACAGTGTCCAAGTTTTCCATTTCCATATGGGAAGTCCTCAAGTTTGAGATTCTCAATGCGCAAGAGGAGTTCTTATCTGAAACCTCCCTCGAGGCTCTGCAAGCAATCGCCCAGCGGCTATCTGAAGGAGTTACCGAAGTGTCACAAGAATTGCCTCTTGCGAAGTACCTTCAGCCAATCACTAAGGAGTGCAATGAGCACCTCCAGGAACCTCAAAACAAGCAGGCCAAGCCGGCCCAATCGATCCTCAGCCGTGTGTCCGCTGCTTCGCCCGTTTCATTTGTCCTTGTTGTACAAACAGCCGTACCTCCGATTTTCACACTCTATCAAGAAGCGGACGGGATAGTCAAACAAAGGGCACTTCTCGAGACTTTGAACGTTCTGTTCGAAGCTGCTATAACCGTATTCGGACAATGGACCACCCGAGGTGGTGAGGCGGCTATCGAAAACCCGCTACTCGAATTCAAAGACCAATTCTCGGACCTTTTCGGTCAGGCATTGATGGGTGCAGCAAAGGAAGAGCTCTCCTTCCGCGTGACTGCCTCGAAGGGCTTCTTGCGTCTGTCGACTTTGCGTAATTTCTTCCAGGAGAATGAGATTGGACTTTTCGTGCAATACCTTGATGAAATCCTTATCAAGGAGGAATCTGCGGGGCGGGACGATCTCAAGAAACAAGCAATTGCTGCTCTTGCTGAGATTTCCAAGCACAAACCCCGACTGATTGTGGATATCACTTTCCCTGCGTTTGTGGCAACGCTGCCAGAGGAAGATGAAGGTTCGGAAGCCCTGTATATGCCGACACTGGAGACCCTTGCTCAGATCAGCGTCGAGAGGGACATTTTCGAGACACTTTTCCGTCGTTTGTTTAGCAAACTGTCTATTCTGCTGCAAAAGGAACAACCCGGGTCAGTTGCTTACCCACGCGCGATTCTCGTCACTTTGCTTTATGTTATGCAACAGAGAAACATGGAACAAGATCAGAGTGTGGATTTGTACTTCGACAAGATTGTGGTTGGACTTTGCCGCGATGTCGCAGCGTCGGCGTCTGGCAAGGCAAAGAACCGGATTCTCAACGATCCTACCGTGCTTGACACTTTGGGTCGGCTTTGCAATCTCCTTGTGCGGTCTGTTCCTACTCAGAAGCAGGAACAAGTTGCCGAAAATGTCTACAACCTCTTCTCTTCAGCTGAAGATTTCGTGCCTATTCCGTTCACCCAGACTACAAATGCGGATCAAGAACGTACGATCATTATCTCGACGTACCTGCTCGCGGGAATATCTAAGGACTGCAGCAACAAAATCCCGCACACTAGCCCAGACATGTCGGGTTTGCTGTTGGATCTGGTCCATCGTTCAGTCTCGAGCACCGAACCAGCAACACACCAAGCCTACCTGCGCCACCTAGCATTGCTCGTCAACAAGTTCCTGTCAAAGCAGGATGTGACAATCGCCGAGAGACTCTTCGATTCTCTCCTCCAAAGTCAGGACACAGAATCACAGAGCCTCAACCCTGCAACCATCCGCACCGTTTTCTGGCTATCCAAAGCCTTGATCCTCCGCCTAGCCCCCTCAACCACTCACATCCTGACCTCCCTCCTCGCCCTCCTCTCCTCTCCCGATCAGCAGACTAGTGCGACAGCAGCACAAGGATTCTCCATAATCCTCGGCGAAGACGACATCCTTTCTGCAACTAACGGCGCCACAATCCGCCTCCTCTGCAGACAGCGCCTCTTCACGACAGTCATCCCCCTGATCTCATCTCGCATCCGCGAAGTGAACATCGCCGGCACAGATGACTCTGTCGCCGCCCCGAAAACGCTCGACCACATCAAACCAGCCCATCTAACCGCTCTCGCGGGTATCCTCTCCACAATCCCCACGGCCCTCGTCATGCCAGAACTTCACACCCTGCTCCCTCTCCTCCTGCAGTCCCTTGATCTCCAGACCGCCGACTCTGTTGCCGTCCGCATAGCAACGCTCGACACCCTCGCCGTCATTATCCGTGATAACGGCGTCGTTGTCATCGATCAGTGCGGCCACGTCCAGAGTCTTGTCACTAGACTCCTCAAGACGGCAGCTACAAATATCGGCCCTGGCGCTGTGAACAGCCCCCGTCTCCGCGCGGATGCTTTGAAATGTCTCAAGCTCCTCGCTACGCACCAGGTGCCCGGCGCTGCGGCTAACGCGCGTGCGCCGCCGGGTATCTCGCCTCTCTTGCCTGTCAAGGCTCAGGTCCTGAGGTCCTTGCGGGCGGTTCTTGATGATCCTAAGCGTGATGTGCGGAAGGCGGCGGTTGATGCTAGAGCTGCTTGGCTGCGTGGTGTGGATGATGCGCCGGAAGAGGATGAATGATTATTCTTGGGTTTAATGGAAGAATATACTCGCATTAAGTTTAGATGTCGTTTATTATCATACATTGAGCATAATCTTATATTACTTTTCGTGGACATCAGTTTTCCAGTCCTCGTTGAGGGAATAGCAAAAGGAATGTTTAAATTCTCTAGCATGCATTCTATGTGCTATTTCTAGATTGAGGCTATGTACTCCAGGGCTGACTAGACACGTGACGTGTTCACTGATGGGTCTGATATGACGGTGAGGGAGGGGGCTCAGCTTTTGTCAAAAGTACGTTAACCGTGCCCATTACCCTTCAGAGAGGCTGTAACGACGAAGTCTATGTGAATGCCCATGGACTGTTGCGAAATAGTTTCCACAAACAAATTACCCTGTGTATCAGGAACAGTCTGATGGCCCTTCAACTGTCCCAAAGGTCAGCAGCGCAGGGGGCTGACCCTACACGATCCCTCAATGCAGCATTGAAGAATTTCCAGAATACCTTGACAGAGGAGCAAAAACAAGAATATCAAAAAAGCACCACGACTCCAGATATTGCGAGCATCATAGAATTTGTCGCAGAACTCGATGCTAGGAATAGCAGCACGATGAGGAGGTGCTTGGCTCCACGGCTATGTACCTTTTTAGAGGCAGCGCAACAGTTCACCGGTGTTGTGAACACATTCGTTAGCTCTAATCCGATAATCGCGGCCCTCGTCTGGGGAGGTGTAAAGACTGCTATATTGACGGCAAGCAATGTGGCCTCTTTGACAAAATCACGAGTATGATCATGCGCATCGGCAAATATTCTCCAACATATCAACAATTTGGCCTACTCTATCCCGGATCTATCGGTCTCCAACGTGCCCTTTGTGACTTCTACGCCATCATCATTAATCTGTGTGTCAAGATCATCCAAGTCTCCCATCGAACTGCCCTCAAGCACACTCTTTCGTCGATACTAAGTCCATTTGAGTCCGAGTTCAAGTCGTTTCTGGATCAGCTAGATGAAGCTACACATAAGATAGATCTGGAGGTATCACTCGCGTCAAAACAAGCAGACCAGCAAGCGAAAAAGCTGCTAGAATATGAAAGTCAACAGAATTCAACATTCCGACCCTTGGCCCGAAATTTCTACAAAAAAGCACTGAAACAACAAGGCGACGCAAGCCAGTGGCGGATGGTTAAGGAAAAAAGGGAAATGGCGAAATTGAAGACAAGCATTCGAGACAACCTTTCTCCTATCAACCATGTCTCTCCTTGGACGCAGGCAATGAAACAACGGGTTCCAACCACAGCTGAGTGGTTTCAGAAAGAGTTGGTGTTTGATAAGTGGAAAGACGATCCAAAATCCGCGATACTCTGGGGTTTAGGCACCATAGGCATGGGCAAGACAGTGCTTATGTCTAATGTGGTGGCCCAGTTACAGTTACATGCGGCCCGCAAGAGCAATGAGGTTGTATCCTACTACTTCTGTCGCGTCGACAATGAGGCATCTTTATCTGCGAGGAACATACTTGGAAGTCTTGCTCGTCAAATCCTCGATACTCAGATTGAGCAAAGCGCATATGAAACGCTACTTTCCTTGCAGGAGACCACCCAGGGTCTTAGCACAACCGACATCGTTCAGTTCTTGTTATTTCATCTGCGTGCTGGTGAGGGTACGAAGTACTATATTGTCCTGGACGGACTGGACGAATGTGATGGCAATCAAGTTCAAACAGTGGCACAGGCTATGGTTGAGCTCTGCAGCAACTATATTGGTTTCAAAGTCATCTGCGCGGGCCGACCTGGTCTTGAAAAACTGTTCAAATCGACCGCACCGCAGTATAGGATCATGGTGAACGAGGAAAAGGTCAAGTCGGACATGGATAACTATATTGCTGAGACTTTGTATAAGTGTCTGGAAGATGAGGTTTTGACTCTTGGCGATCAAGAAATCGTCACAGAGATATACGACACCTTAAGGGACAAAGCGGACGGAATGTAAGTGTTGACGCCGCCTAACCAAAGACATGTGTCAAGATTAGGCCATATGACTACGGAATCCTAAATGCTCTGCTAACGTATCCAAAAAAATATAGGTTCCTTTGGGCAAGTCTTTGCATCGAAGAGCTTTGCGCACAGAATTGTGATCATGACATCCTTGAAGCACTGAAACATCTTCCACGCAGCTTGACTGAGCTCTATGATCGAAAGCTTCGTCGTGTTCGGGAGGGAAGGGCGGGTGAGCAGGCAATGAAAATACTACAATATTGCGGGGCAGTGAAGCGGCCATTGACAGTCACGGAATATCGAGAAGCCCTTAGTCTTTCCCTTGAACAAAAGGCCTTTGACCACAAAAAGGTCCCCAACGACATGGATAAGATCATCAATGGTTGTTGCGGATTGATATTCGTTGATGAAGAGGAAGAGACTATACACTATGTGCATCGTAGTGTTGAAGAACGTCTTTTTGTCACAAACGGTCCACACACAGCGCAATTCGACATGGCAAGCGTCGACCGGCATGTTGGGTTTCTTTGCATGGCATATCTGGATTTCACCAACTTCAAGCGGCAGTTAGCGAAATTTAAGCATGGTTCCGGTACTCCTATCAAGCCCGTTGAGCTCGGTACTCTGTCTACCTGTCCTTCCAGGAGGATTACCAGTCAGATCGCCCGAAGGATTCTTTCCAGTCATCTCCCGCTACAGCATTTCAACACTCGAGAGGTAGAAAGGACGGCGCAAGAAATACTTGGAGATGGGGGTTCTTCCCAGCTGGAGCTGGAACTCCAGAAGCAAGGGTTTCAGCTTCTCAATTATGCCAGGGATTACTGGCTCAACCATCTGGCCGATTTCACTCCTGATATGAACGGTAATATGTGGAGATTGTTTTGCCGGTGCATAGAAGGCGATGATGTCTCTGCATGGAGACCATGGGAGTTAAAGCAGCAGACCCACAACAAGAGAAATGATATACCAGAGGCTATACAATGGTTATTGGCCCATGAACATTACGCATTGCTTTTATATTACGCAGGACATCAGTCTCACGTTCTGTCCGATTATGTGAAGGACGAAATCTTTCGCAGCGCCGAAATTCACAATCGTCATCGATACACTGAGGTGCTTGTTCGCCTTAAAAATACCAGAGACGTCTTGAATCATGGATTGTCATATGCTGTGCTAGATGGATGCCTTCGTTCCCTAGCCATGTTACTTCAAGCAGGTGCTGACGTTGATGCGAAAGTAAATCACAGAACAGCCCTCCAATGGGCAGCAGAAGCAGGCCACCTTGAAGTGATACAAACACTTCTAGCAGCAAAGGCAGACGTCAACGCACCTCCCGATAGATATGGCCGGACAGCTCTCCAAGCGGCAGCAGGAAGAGGCCACCTTCAGGTAGTGCAGGCACTACTAGCAGCGGGAGCAGATATTAATACTGAATATTCTGATCAAACAGCTCTACAAGCAGCGGCTGAAGGAGGCCATCTTCATATAGTGCACGCACTTCTGGCGGCAGAAGCCGACGTCAACGCACCTCCTAAATTTGGGCGCCGGATAGCTCTCCAAGCGGCAGCAGGAAGAGGCCACCTTCAGGTAGTGCAGGCACTACTAGCAGCGGGAGCAGATATTAATGCTGAATATTTTGATCAAACAGCTCTGCAAACAGCTCTGCAAGTAGCGGCTGAAGGAGGTCATCTTCATATAGTGCACGCACTTCTGGCGGCAGAGGCCGACGTCAACGCACCTCCTGTTATATTTGACGGCCGGACAGCTCTCCAAGCGGCAGCAGGAAGAGGCCACCTTCAGGTAGTGCAGGCACTACTAGCAGCAAAAGCCGACGTCAACGCGCCTCCTGCTATATATGGGGGCCAGACAGCTCTCCAAGCGGCAGTAGGAGGAGGCCACCTTCAGGTAGTGCAGGCACTACTAGCAGCAAAAGCCGACGTCAACGCGCCTCCTGCTAAATATGAGGGCCAGACAGCTCTCCAAGCGGCAGCAGGAGGAGGCCACCTTGAAGTTGTGCACGCACTTTTGGCGGCAAAAGCCGACGTCAACACACCTGCTAAATTTGAGGAGGACCAGACAGCTCTCCAAGCGGCAGCAGGAGGAGGCCACCTTCAGGTAGTGCAGGCACTACTAGCAGCGGGAGCAGATATTAATGCTGAATATTTTGATCAAACAGCTCTGCAAGCAGCGGCTGAAGGAGGCCATCTTCATATAGTGCACGCACTTCTGGCGGCAGAGGCCGACGTCAACGCACCTCCTGTTTATGAGGGCCAGACAGCTCTCCAAGCGGCAGCAGGAGGAGGCCACCTTCATGTGGTGCAGGCACTACTAGTAGCAAAAGCCGACGTCAACGCACCTCCTGCTACAGTTAGAGGCCAGACGGCTCTCCAAGCGGCAGCAG